CTGCTGAGGTTTGAGAATGACAGGCGTGAGAGATGAATGTAGGAGAGAAAGAGGAAGAGTGAGAGACGAGAGGAGAGCGCCCAACAATCAGTGCTAAACCATACAGACACAATTACCCTCTGAACTTTTGAGAATTACCCTCCCAACCCAGCCCTATTTGGCTGGTATTGTTGTAAATAGCATGAAATCGAGTGGCTTCGTGCTAAACCAGACGAACAAAATTACCCTTTGAACTTTTGAGAATTACCCTCCCAACCCGACCCCATTTGGTTGACATTGTTGTAAATGTCATGAAATCGAGTAGCAAAGAACTGATGGCTTCTACAGTGCCTTTTTCCCCTACTTTAAACTTAGAGCATTTCCACCAGAGGTGGAATAGCCCAGCACCCAGTTAAAAAACCATGTTGGGACTCTGTCAATCCCCTCCAGCTCACAAACTTGCCTATCACCCAGCCCAAGCTGGTGTCCAAGCTAGCCTAAACTTGACTGACCAAGGAACCGGCCTATTTGCCTGGCGCGTGGCTTTCACGTGGCCATGGGCACGAGTACCCGACAGCCCTTCAGAGGTTGGGCCCAAGGTGCAGGCGCACTCACATCCCACCCCGGGTAGGCGACATGGCCCACTGTCTGTCGTTGGATTTCCAACGGCTAGTTTTTCTAAACCGTTGGATTTCCAACGGTAAAAAAAAATTGAATTTCACTTTTGATTTGGACCGTCCGATCATAGATCAACGATCCACGTTTTTCCCCCAAAAATTAAAAATAAATAAATAAAAGGGTCCAACGGTCAGAATTATGACTGTTGGCGACATGGTAGCTTATTGGCGGTTGGATTTGAATATTTTTCAAATCCAACAGTCCAGATTATTTAACTAAATTAAAAATTGTTAAAAATTATTAAAAATTATGAAAAAATACATAAAATTTATTAAAAAAATTAAAAAAATAATTCTATAAATACCTAACCCTCATCTTTCACCTTACACCACATTTCAATATTTTCTACACTTTGAGAGGAAAAAAATGTCTTCGTGGAAACTCATTGAAGATGTTACGTTGTGTGAATGTTGGGTTCACACAACTCATGACCCGATTACGGGTAATGAGATGGATAAGCAAGAAATGTGGAGTAAAATTACAAAATCGTTTTGCGATGTACATGGAAAAGACGCCAGAAGTAGTCAAGGTCTTCAAAGTCGTTGGAAAAAACTCAACGCATCCTTTACTTGTTGGAAAAACGCCATCTATCTCCGGTAATCTACGTAGTGGGACAAGTTTAGCAGATCAGATGACAATATTTTTATTTATTTATATGTATTCCACCCGTATCAATATTTTAATTTATTTATTTGTGTTACACCCACATTTTTTATAATACTGTCTTATCCCACATATATAGACACTACAAGCACAAGCTTTCTACAATGCGAATAACCACAACAAATCATTCAACAAATGGGAATGTTGGCAAATTGTGAAAGATTGCCCCATATACAAAATTGTGTCAACCGGTCCAGAAGTTGTCATGCACGGCATGGGTCTACACAGTTCGCCAGAACCAGTCACGGCCGAACAAGAAGGCGACACATTTGAAGACACGGAAGGGATGCCTGAAGAAGTGCCGGAGACCCAACCGATTAGTCAGTCCCTCAGGCCTCAAGGTAAAAAGGCATCAAAGAAAAAATGTTGTTCTTCCAAAAATGACTACACTAAATATATGGAGGAACTTGCTCGCCAAGGTGAACTGAACATGGCGCGGGAAGCGGCTAGAGATGAGGAAAAAGTTGCTGCTATGGCAGCAATATTAGCAACTACTGAGAGACGTGATGCGGTGGCTAAGAGACAAAGAGAAATAGTTAATCGAGAGAACAAGATGATTAGAGAAGCACTTAATCGAGGAAATGAGATACTTAGAGAATAAAGGATAGCTCAAGCAAATCGTGACATTATGAACAAGTCTCTAGTAGGACTGTCTCTGAATTCAAAATATTTTTGGACATCGAAAAAAAGAGACGTCGTGCGAAGGAGGCGTGAAAGAGATGCGGAAACAAGTCGAGGGGGTTATAGCTACACAAATCCTAGCAACGAAGATCCTAGCACCACATATCCTAGCTCCAGAGACTTTTTATAATTTCGTATTTATTTGTAGTACTTTATTTAATTTCTTATGTAATTTTTATGTAACTTCGTCTTTATTTTTAGTACTTTATGTAATTTCTTATTTATTTTTATTTATAGATGTAATTTCTTATTTTTTATTAGTACTTTGTGTAATTTCTTATTTATTATTAGTACTTTATGTAATTTCTTATTTATTTTTATTCATAGATGTAATTTCATATTGATTCTTAGTATTTTGTGTAATTTCTTATTTATTATTAGTACTTTATGTAATTTCTTATTTATTTTTAGAACTTTAAGCAATTTCAATTTTTTTTTGTACTTTATTTAAACACATCAAATAAGATTACATAACCTCACCAAATAAACTTTAAAAAAAAAGCACACCAAATAAAATTACATAAACTTAAAAAAAAATACACTTTATTCTTCAACCACATGCTCATTTTAATTATCTTCACCTTCTTGCAATCTCTACTGGTGCTCAATCAAGTCATTCTGACGGGTTACGTGCCAATATGACTCCTGCACATCAGTGTACCGCTGAACGATCAATTCATTGTAACGTTCATCTCGTTCCAACGACTCATGTTGCACAGGATCTTCGGTCCGATCATGAGCACAATAGATACATGTTCTTGAGTTGTTCATCGGATCCGGCTCATATTCATCGACGACATCATAATCATATTCATCTTCCACAATCATGTTGTGGAGAATAATACACGTCATCATGATGGATCGAAGAGCCTCGACATCAAACAGTCTAGCAGTAGACCTGACAATCGCCTAACGAGCTTGCAGGATATCAAAACAACGCTCCACATTCTTCTTACACCCCTCTTGACATTTTGCGAAGTGTTTTTCTTTTTCATTATGTGGATGTGGCATTGTTTTGACAAATGTAGACCACCTTGGGTAAATGCCGTCTGCAAGGTAGTATGGTCCTTGCAGCAGATCGTCGAACACTGGAGATTGAGCATGGACATTTAGGTCATTCTGAGCTCCTGGAACACGAAAAAAAACATGCCAAATTCATGTATCAAATGAAGACAACTTTTGGCTCATTTTCTGTCGCCATAAGCTCCTTGCCACGCACTTGGACAATTTTTCCAAGTCCAGTGCATGCAATCGATGCTTCCAATTATGCCAGGGAGGCCTCGCATGATCGCATCTCATCCTTTCTTAGAAGCCTTCGCATGACCCTTGGAGTGGGTGTCCCGAGGTACTCATTGGTGTACAGGACTTCAATTGCAGAGTAAAACCGCATCAGGGACTTTAGAACAATTGTTTTTCCCATATTCGCGATCTCATCCACTTGATTTGCAAATGCTCCATATGCAAGCATTCGCAAGGCAGCCGTAATTTTTTGCTCTGGAAGAAGACCTAGAACATGAAAAGCATCATCTTTTTGCACAAAATATGGATCATGGTTGCAAATAGCACTCATGATTTTGTTGAACAAACTTCGTTGCATTCTAAAACGACATCTGAAAACATGATCAGGGAATATGTTGTTGGGAATAAAATAATTTTCCAAGAGATCTTTACCTCGTATTTCCCTTTTTCTATCAAAGTTTGCGGCACGTCTGGGTTTGGCTATCTGACCCACAACTTCCATGACACAGCGGGAATGTGAGGCCTTCTGCCTTCTATGGTCATCATTCGAGTCCTCCTCTATTGTGAAAGCCTCATCTCCACCTCCACCTTCCTCGAGATTGATCAATTCTTCCTGTTGTGCCAACAATCTTTTCTGTTGCTCCACAAATTGTTTATGCACTCTCCTTGAAGAAGACATTGTAAAAAAAACTCAAGATTTGAAAACGATGAAAAAGGATTATGAGCTAAAAAGAAGGATTGAGTTTGGTGTGAGGATGAATGTAGAGATGTAGGGTTTATATGGACAAAGAAAAAAGGATGATGTTCTGGACAATGCCACGTGGCACTACGTGATTGGTTGAAAATATTATTGAAATCTTGGCTAAATTATTGCAAACAGGAAGTGACACGTGGCGCGTCGGGATTGGTTGAAAATCTTATCGGAGATCTATCCACAAAATAGTACGTTCAGATAATGACATGTGGCGTAATAAGATTGGTTGAAAATCTTAGCGTAATCTTGGCTAAATTATTGTAAACAGATAGTGACACGTGCCGCATCAAGATTGATTGCAAATCTTAACGGAAATCTATTCACAAAATAGTATGTTCGGATAATGACACGTGGCGTTACGAGATTGGTTAAAAATCTTATCCGAAATTAAAACTATTTTATTTATTTATTCTTTTATTAAAAATTTAAAATATTTTAAATGGGCTAGGTGCCAGCGCATTTTGTAATGGTGGAAATCGTTTGTGCCATCGCATTTTTAAACTGGGTGCGAGCGCATTTTTTTAGGGGTGGAGATGCTTTGACCTATTACTGTTCACTGAGATCTATTACTGTTCACTTGAGTGGATAAATGCGCTGGGTGCTGACGCAAAGTCTTTAGAAGTGGAATAAAAAACCCCACATACTATATGTGTGTAAATATAAAAAATTTAAAAGGAAAAAAAAATATGCGAAGGAGAGATGCTTGAGAGAAATGTGAAAGAGATAGTGACATGGAAATGTGCAAGATGTTTATATTTAGATTTTTTATTTTTTAATTATAAAAATTAAACATATGCAATGATGATATGATGTTGAGGAAAAAAAAAAGAAAAATTTGGTTGGTGCAAAATTATATTATTGTCTATGATTTTATATTGTGATAAAAGACTAAATTATTTTTACACTACCTATCAACATGTGAGTTTTATCTCAATTTGAAAAATGATACAAATATAAATATAGTATGAAAAATATAATTAGAGTAACATTTTTGTTAACTCCCAACCAGAACAGTCCTTGAAGCTTCCTCTTCAAAACTATAGAAATACGGTACGACGTGTTCTTGAGCTGTTGAGTTGACTTTAACATGGTATTTCTCTACCATTTGGGCAAAACCACAACCTCTGCCAGCCAGCGAAGAAGGATTAATTAATGGATACCAGGGCAGCCCTTGAAGATTCCTCTTCAAAACAATGGAAACACGACGTGTTCCTAAGCTTCCGAGGTAAAGACACGCGCCGGACCTTCACCGACAACCTTTACTGGGCATTAAAGCACGACAGCGTCAACGTCTTCAGAGACGAAGAAAATCTTCAAAGAGGCGAAACTATAAGAGACGAGTTAGTGGAAGCAATCAAACGGTCTCAGATCGCCATTATTGTCTTCTCAAAAGGGTACGCGGATTCGAGATGGTGTCTTGACGAGCTGGAGACGATCGTGAAGTGTAGATCAACTATGGGGCAAACGGTCTTGCCGATATTCTATGATATTGATCCTTCACATGTTAGGGGTCAAACTGATAGTTTTGCAGAGCCATTTCAGAAATATGAACAGTGCTACCCGAAAGATAAGGTGCTGAGGTGGAGAGATGCTTTGACTCAAGCTGGAAGATTGGCTGGTGGGAATCTTGAAAACACTGATGGGTAATTCCTTGGACAATCTACTTTTTAACTTTCTCATATTGAAAAATTGGCGGACATGATCATTTTTCAAATACTAAATTGATTAGTATTCAATATGTGGTACATATATGATCGACACGTTGTCACTATTTGATTGCCATGTAATGGATATTTGATTTTGATAAGTTGAGCAGTTAAAATTTGATTTTTAATCATTCTAGTAGATCTGCATTTTTTGCGAAATGTCATTTGTTGGCTTCTCAAGTAAGGCTCATAATTTTCATTTACACATTGCAATGCAAAGCTTAGAAATCCTGAAAAGTGAGAATCTGCAAACGCTGATCTAACTATCAATGTGGGCAAATTGAGCTAATCACATGGATCAACATATTTGCATGTGTTTGAATGAATGTTTTCAGAAGTTGAACAATGTATTTATTGAAATCTTATTTGATCCCAAAATCTGGTATCATAATAATGAATAATGTGTTAGTTGAGTTCATCCTAGAGTTACATTTTGCTTACCTTTGTATTTTAACTGATAGGTATGAAGGAAGGTTTATAAGGAAAATTGTTGACGATGTCACTAGAAGACTGAACAACACATACTCAGGTGTAGCCGCCAACCAAGTTGGAATAGATTCTCGTGTGCAACTGATCATCAATGAGTTAGATATTGGAGGATCAGATGATGTTCGCATTATTGGAATTTTGGGTATGGGTGGAACGGGTAAGTCAACGGTTGCACAAGCCATTATCAGCAGATTTAGACAAAGGTTTGACGCTACTTGTTTCCTTTCAAAAGTGAGGGAAGGGGATATGGTTAAATTGCAAAACAAACTTCTTTGTGATATCTTGAAACCAGCCAATGTAGAGGTAAGTACTGTCAATCAAGGGACCGAGGAGATAGAACGAAGACTTGGCAGCAAAAAGGTACTTGTCGTAATTGATGACGTTGATTGTGCGAAACAATTACATCAGTTAGCTATAAAACGTGACACCTTTGGCCCAGGGAGTAGAATTATTATAACAACAAGAGTCAAACAATTGCTAAAGATATTTAAAGTGGATAAGACATGTAACGCACAGATAATGAATAAACAAGAAGCTTTTGAGCTCTTTTGTTGCCATGCCTTTACTGAGCGTTGTCCTCCTGATAAAGAATATCTTGAACTCTCAAGCAAAGTTGTTGATTACTGCGGAGGTTTGCCACTAGCACTTGAGGTTTTAGGTTCTTATTTATGTACAAAACTCAAAAGTGAATGGAAAAGTGCCTTGAGTAAATTGAGAACATATCCTCATATGCAAATTCACGAACAGCTTAAAATAAGCTATGATGGGCTGATTGACGATGATGTGAAGGATATATTCCTTGATATATCTTGTTTCTTTATTGGAATGAACAAGGACCATGTCACAACAATATTGGATGGCTGTGACTTTAATCCAGAAATAGGAATTGGAGAACTACATGATCGATGTCTTGTAGCTATTGATGAAGGGAACAACCTGATAATGCATGATTTGCTTCGAGACATGGGCAGACAAATCGTACGCGCAAAATCCCCTAAAATCCCCGGAAAACGTTGTAGATTGTGGGATCAGGATGATGTCAAAGACGTATTGAGAAACAAATCTGTAAGTAATTGCTGTCAAATTATACGATGATATGTATTAATTTAAACGGAACTACATGTTGAATGCAAAGAGAAATTAAGTCTAAGAACAACTATATGACTTTGTTGCTTGTTTATAAATCTTCTTTTCATATGCAATGATATAACCCTTTTCTTACTTAGTTAACTTTGCATTCTTCTTCTTTTTTATTTTCTTTTAAAAGGGAACAGAGGAAGTTGAAGGACTCATGTTAGATTTGCAAGAATCCGACAAGCCTATCTTCTGTACAGAAGCACTTAAGGAGATGCAGGGACTGAGGTTGCTCAAACTGAAAGGCGTAAAGTTCACTGGAAACTGCCAACATCTTTCCAAAAAGTTAAGATGGTTGTGCTGGTCTGAGTTTCCTCTAAAGATCATACCAGAAGATTTTAATCAATCATACCTAGTTGATATTGACCTGAGTCATAGCGAAATACAATTTTGGAATGATTCAGACGTGGTACAGTATAATCCCAGCCAAACCACTGATTCTTTCCTCCATTTTTGTAAGTACCAACATTATGCTCTCTCTTCTATTTGGATTGATTTCTGTTCTTTTTTCTCTGACAGCCGCTTGAGAAGTTGAAGTTTCTTAATCTTGGGTATTGCCGTCGCCTGAAAAGATCACCAGACTTTTCAAAACTCCCAAATCTCGAGAAGCTGCTACTCAATGATTGCGAGAGTTTGTCTAGGATTCACCCTTCCATAGTACAACTGAAGAACCTTAAACATTTATCTCTTGCGAACTGCAATCTAAAAAATGATGCAATTCCTAAGGATCTTGGGGGTCTATCTTCTTTAGAAGTTCTAGATCTACGTGGCAATAATTTTAATGTGCTACCCACCCTCAGTGGCCTTTCCAAGCTTCAACCTTTACAATGGGATAACTGTAAAAACCTTGAGGCAATCCCAGATTTACCAAAAAAATTGGAAATCTTGGAACCGGATGAATGCGCTGCGAAGGAAAAAGTGCCAGATTTTTCACATATGTTGAGTGTGATGGGATTGCATCAGAATCACTTTCCCGAATGGACTGAGATTCCAGGCATGGATAAGTTGTCAGACTCGGTGACAAGGATTCCCATTGAAGGGTGCACCGCTTGTGATGAAATTATCCTGCAGGTCCTCTCTCTCTCTCTTCGACCATCTCTCTCATGCACACATAAATGCATTTCTTAATCGCTTGTATAAATCTTTGCTCCACACGGTTTAGGGATGGAGTGCGAGTTAAAATGGTTGGTTTTATATCCTGGAAATGTTTTTCCTCAGTGGTTTAGGGGTGTCGACTTTAAGGATGAATTAGTTGGGCCACAAAGTTTATTTAAATGTGTTGACTGTATGCATCATATTCTCTTCAGATAACTCCCAGTCTGGTGATTGTCTTCGCATTCCGTGTTGTAAGTTGTACCCGGCGCTGGGAGTTTATCGTGTGTGCAATGAAAGTGACCATAATTGCATCCTATAAGACTTTGTATGGGACATTTTTTTTTATCCATTTTTCTTTATTTATCTGGTCTTTTGAGTAATTTCCTGTCCTATTATATCTTCCAAATTATACAGAAAAACTCCATTGTGATTCATATTGGTGTCCAAGAGAGCATTAGTTAGTTCACCATTTTGGTACATTCCACGCTCTTAGGTTTGTATATTCTACAGAGAGAATATAAATGGATATCTATTTTGACATATTGTCCAATGAACATGTTTTAAAGGTGAGGCGAAGCCAATACGTTTTCATGGACAACCTCGCGTAGGCAATAACCTCACAACACCTAAAATTATTATAGGGCTAATCTTAGTATATTACTCTAAAGTCTTTTTTTGTTTTCAACATTTCATACATTAAGTTTTCTTTTTTCATCCAAATTTGGTACTTAAGGTGATAATTCTAAAACACTTTCATACATCCATTAAGTTTTGTGTTAAAACAACCGTTAACATGTGATATGATTCTTGCGTGGACAATGATTGGGCGCCACGTAGGTATTTAAAAAATAAAAAATAAAAAATAAAATTCAAACATTTAAAATCAAAAAATAAAAAGATAAAAAAAATATAAAAATTTGCAAACCGCTGCAAATCTTCCTTCTTCCCCTCCCCCACAAATCTTCCCAGTCCATCAAAAAGAAAATTAGGAGATGCCCGGATGAAGTCCTGGCTACAAGAGATTTTATTATATATAGCCAAAACATACACTTCAATTTCAAAAATATCCCTTTTTATAAAGGGAAGTGTTATTGACACTTCAAAATTCTCATTTTACACTCCTCACAAGTGTATTTTTCTTTTCTAATATAGAAAGTTTGGAGTGTAGAATGAGATTTTTGGAGTGCTAATAACAATTTCCTTTATAAAAATGTCAATTATAACAAAAAAAGGACTTGAATAGAATCAAATGGCCATAACATTAAAACCAACTTACACTACAACAAAAATCCTTGACACTATGTTTGGACGAGGGAAATAAACTTGGAATTTGGATAAAAGTCAGAATTTATAAATTGACATGCACCAATTCGGGATTGGTCAAGTATGGTACAGACAGTGCTCCCCTAAGTTCCCGAGTGAGGGAAGCTCCTCGATTGGGGACTTGCAAGATCCAAGCCGCTGAGTAATCACGAAACTTCTAAGTACCGAAGTGTGGTATTGTTTTCACTTGCCTTATCTGTCTCATAGGTAGATGTGGCATCTTCTCTGGAAGTACTTTTCCTCCATCTAGAGGTGGTATCTTTAACAGGTGGAGATGCACAAGGTAATGTATCAATTTCGCTTGAAGCTTACTTGTAGTTTTAGGCTTGGTCAAGCGCGATACAAACCATATAGTAAGAGTCCCCTAAGTCGCCGAGCTAGGAGATCTGCCAAAAGAGGTGACAGACAAGGTTAGCAATCAGAGCTCCCAGCAATTAGTCCCAGAGCAGAAGTTTGATTTCGAGTTCCGGCTGATTGTTCTCATTCTCCCTATCTTGCAGGCAGCAGGAATGATAAAAAGAAGAAAAATGAGAAGAGATGATATGAGATACTTTTACTTTTGAAGAAGTAACTTTCCACATGCTTATTCTTGAACTCGGCTGGAGGGTTTTCTGGTTTCCTCCAGGGTAAGGCCGACTCAAGAATTTGAGGGTCAAAACAAGTCCATCAAATCAAGAATGCGTTCGACCTTGATGATATGGGATACTTTGGCTGTTGACAAAGTAATAGATGAATCGGCACGTGTTCTGTTGTGCTTGTCTCCACATGCTTCCTTATATCCTTCTCACTTGCCCTATATGTTCCTCAGGCAGATGTGATATCTTTTCTGGAAGCATAAGATGTTGAAGATGAGTACTCGAGAGTAATGCTAGGTAAGTAATCAGGCAGGGAGTTCCAGGCAGTCAGTTCCTGACTGGAAGCTTGATTTCAGGCGCTAACTGATTGCTCTCTTCTCCTTGTTTTGCAGGTAAGAACAAGGGTAAAGGAAAAGACAGGGAAAAAGCATGATATGGGATACTCTTGCTTTTAACCCTGATGATATGAGATACTCTTGCTCTGGTGTGGCTTGTTTGCAGAGGTATTATCAGGGGAAAAAGAAGCTGAGTATTTCGAGAGACTCTGCAGAGACTTTGCAGGTCTGCCTGGGTGTGGAGGATAAAGGTCGACATATATAGGAATTGTCCCAACAGCGAGTAGTAACGATGTTCCTGTACCCTTCTCGGTCATAGTGGGAGCTGCAAGATTCACGTGTTTTAACTTTGTCAGAGCACTTTGAAAAAGTGGTCTGTGGTATTTGGAAAGCTGATGTTGCGTGTGAAGATTGCAGACAAGCTTTATCCAAGGAAATATGGCTCTCGAAGTTCGAAGAGCGGTGCTTCTTCGGTTTTTGAACAAGCAATCTTGTCGGGGATCTGGCTCTCGAGATCTGGAGAACGGTGCCTCTTCGATTTTTGAGAAAGCAATCCTGATGGGAGTCTGGCTTTTGAGATTCGGATAGCGGTGCCTTTTCGATTTTTGAGAAAGTAATGGTGGTGGGAGTCTGGCTCTCGAGATTCAGAGAGCAGTGCCTCTTCGATTTTTGAGAAAACAATCCTGGTGGGAGTCTGGCTCTCGAGATTCCGAGAGTGGTGTCTCTTTGATTTTTGAGCAAGTAATCCTGTTGGGAGTGTTTTCTCGATGTGAGTAAAGGTTGGGCATTTTTGCCAGTCTGCCTTGCCACGGAGCACAGAGGTTGACACACATGGGAACTTTCCAGTTATCAAGCAGTGGTGCTGTTCCTTTACCCTTGTGGGTAATGGTAGGGTAGCTGGACCTTCAAAATTTATGTGTCTAAACTTTGTCAGAGATCTTTGGCAAAGTTATCTGTGGTACCCGAAGAGCTAATGTTGCGTGTGAGGATTGTCGACATATTTTACTTAGGAAAATCTGCTTCTCGAAATCCGGAGAGTGGTGTCTCTTCGATTTTTGAACAAACGGCCATGCTACCCTTTCTTTTATAGGGGCACCAATTGTGTGCAAGAAGTACGTTCAGAGAGTTATTACTTGTAGGAATTTTCCCCTTGTTTTTGTACTTTAGAGATTTATTAGACCTCATTTCTCCTTCATCATTTCTGAAAATGTCTGGCCCATCCGACCTTCGTTTTGACTTGAACTTTGGCGAAGAGGCAACCATGCCTCCTCAAGATAACATATGGAGCCCATCTTTCTTATCCCCTACTGGTCTTCTTACCGTTGGGGACTCTGTGATGAAGAATGATATGACCGCTGCGATGGTGGCCAGGAACCTTCTTACTCCCAAAGATAACAGACTACTTTCCAAACAGTCTGATGAGTTGGTTGTTAAGGATTCTTTGGTTCTCAGTGTTCAGTGTGCAGGTTTTGTGTCTAATATAGCCCAACGTCTATTTTCTCGAACCCGCCAAGTTGAATCATTGGCGGCTGAAGTGATAAGTTTCAAACAGGAGATTAGAGGGCTTAAGCATGAGAATAAACAGTTGCACATGCTCGCACATAACTATGCTACAAATATGAAGAGGAAGCTTGACCAGCTGCAGGAATCTGATGGTCAGATTTTACTTGATCATCAGAGGTTTGTGGGTTTGTTCCAAAGGCATTTATTGCCTTCGTCTTCTTGGGCTGTACCGTGTAATGAAACTTCAAATGATCAACCTCCGGTGCCTCCTCCTTCTGGGGATCTGCCCAGTACTGGGCTCCGAATGATCACCCTCTGGTGCCTTATCTTTCTGGGGCTCTGCCGACTGTTGAGACTTCTCCTGAGCAACTTTTGTGAAGGCTCCTTCTTGTTTGTTTATTTTGATTCATGTATATGTACATATTTGTAACTTATCGGAGATATCAATAAATAAGCTTTGCTTCATTTCAACGTATTGTGTTAAATACACCAAAGCCTTCTTCACTAAGTTCTTTGAATTTTTTTTTCTTTTGTTGAAGCTTGTATGTTGAAGCTTTATAAGTGAAGCATGTAGGTTGAGGTAGTGCTCCCTTAATTTCCCGAGTGAGGAAAACTTCTCGGTTGGAGACTTGAAAGATCCAAGTCACTGAGTAGTCGTGAACCTTCCAAGTACCGAGGTGTAGTAGTATATGGTAGGAGTCCCCCAAGTCTCCGGTCGAGGGAGTTTACGAAGGAGGTGTTTTGCTAGTAGCCAAGTTTCGAAAGTAACAAAACTTCACCATTTTCCTTTCTAAGTGGTAGCCCAAAACTCCTCCTTCATATATATATTTGTTATGAAAGTTGTTAGGCCTAAAGAAGAGGAGGCCTAGACCTTTTTTTTTCGATTTTTTTTTTGAATTTTTGAATTTCCGAATATATATATATATATATATATATATATATATATATATATATATTAAGCTTTATAGGTGAAGATTTGTAGGTGAAGCTTTGAGGTTGAAGCTTTGTTGGGTACCATGAATTGATTTTGCTTCACACTATCTTGATCAAGAGTGTGTGAAGCTTTTGGCATTTGTAGTTGAAGCTTTGGTGCTGAAGCTTTGTAGGTGAAGCTTTTGTGTTGAAGCTTTGTAGGTGAAGTTTTTGTGTTGAAGCTTTGGAGTTGAAGCTTTTGTAGGTGAAGCTTTGTAGGTGAAGCTTTTGTGTTGAAGCTTTGTAGGTGAAGCGCTTTGGAGTTGAAACTTTTGTAGGTGAAGCTTTGGAGTTGAAGCTTTTGTAGGTGAAGCTTTGGAGTTGAAGCTTTGGAGTTGAAGCTTTGTAGGTGAAGCTTTGGAGTTGAAGCTTTGTAGGTGAAGCTTTGGAGTTGAAGCTTTGTAGGTGAAGCTTTTGTGTTGAAGCTTTGTAGGTGAAGCTTTTGTGTTGAAGCTTTGTAGGTGAAGCTTTGGAGTTGAAACTTTTGTAGGTGAAGCTTTGGAGTTGAAGCTTTGTAGGTGAAGCTTTTGTGTTGAAACTTTGTAGGTGAAGCTTTGTAGGTGAAACTTTGGAGTTGAAGCTTTTGTAGGTGAAGCTTTGGAGTTGAAGCTTTGTAGGTGAAGCTTTATAGGTGAAGCTTTTGTGTTGAAACGTTGTAGGTGAAGCTTTGGTGTTGAAGCTTTTGTTGGCACCATAAATTGGTTTTGCTTCACATTGTTTTGATCAAGAGTGTGTGAAGCTTTTGAGAATGTAGTTGCCCTTCATTGATGAAGCTTTTGTTAGCACCATAAATTGGTTTTGCTTCACACTGTCTTGATCAAGAGTGTGAAGC